AGATATATTCAGACACCTCTGTGATACATACTGACATTCTCTGTATTTGTTAATTCTTCCTCTTGTGGCTTGAAAGCATCGGCGTTATCTACCCTTTCTGCGTAATTAACTTTAATACAAGCAATGTAACCTTCGGCATAACCGACATCGGCTTTAAAACTGTCATCTGTCATTACTAGCAGTTTGAGTCTATGAAATGTTTTTGTGTCGGGCTTCTCGTCTCTAAATATTCGTCTCCCCGCTAGGCTTTCAACCCACGGTGTTGTTGCTACATTGGCTGATAGATCACGCATATAAATCGGAACATACGCCCTACCCCTGCTGTCTCTGAAAGATACTGATAAGCCCTGATGTGATTCTGTCTTGAGCTGGTATAGATGAACATTGATTGAATATTTTCTTGGTTTCCTCTGGTTGGTTCTTCCCGTTCGTTTGTTGTCTTCTTTTGCTTGCGCCATTCTCTGACCTAGTTGCTCTTTACCCTTGTGCTTGTCGTATAGTTGATTATATTCGTTTTCTGCTTTGGCTTTTCTTTGTCTGTTATTGCGGTGGTGGGTTTCCTAATTAAACTGTCTGCTGTGGTGAATTGGGCGATCTTACGATCTGAATATAAGCTAAATATATTTTGAACTTTTGTTCTGGTGGCCTGGGTGATGCGGTTTCGCTTGTTGTTATAAAGTGTTTGTAATGTTTCCGCATTACGCTTAATGGCGTTGGACATATACTAATATAATTAAACTATATATTGGTAAATCTTTAAGTGTGATTTTCGAAAGATGTTTTTAAAACATTAAATGTTTTTCTTATGTATAGAAAGAAATATGTCTAAAGATAAAAAGTATATATAGTATAGTATAATATGAGTAAAAAACCCGAAGATATGACAATGGATGAAATCAAAGAGCAACTCGCCATATACAGCAGATTGTGTTACAACATGCGCAGTAATGATGAAAAATATATGCAAAAGAAACGAGAATATGCACTACGACACAATCAGAGAAAGAGTATCAAGGAGTATGAAGAAGCTAACAATATCAAACTGAACCCCGATGAGTTGACAGAAGAATTGCTATCCGAAATAATGAATGCCAAAAAGCCTTTTACAGCAAAGCGCGGCACACCCAAATATGATATGAGCAAGTTCAAGGTCATAAAGCCGATGGATGACGAATGATGATTTAATTTAGTTATTAAATCATTATTTTCTTTTGTTTTTATATGAGTGAGAAACAAAAAATTATTAATGATGTGTATTTTGATCGCGCGGGGTTTGGCTCAAAATGCCGGACTTTAGAAGAAGCCCGGGAGAAAGATAAAACCATGACAATGTCTGATATTAACGAGTTTTTTAGGAAGAATGTTGATCAAAACCGAAAGCCCGTGAGTTCAAATAGCTTTGTCGCCCCGCATTCAGCATACGAGTATCAGATGGATTTATTTTTATCAACGACTTGAAAGATCAAAAAATTAGAGTAGGGATGTTAATGATTGATATTTTTGATAAGTTTATGCACGTGGTGGCAATTAAAGGCAAGAAAGAAGAAGATCTCACGAGTGGGATCATTGAATGCTTACATAAAATGCTGAAGAAGCCAAAAATAATTTATACCGAGGACGAGGGAGCAATGAACAAGGAGACAATACAAAAGTATTTACAGGAACAGAACATAGAACATCACAGGACTAGGGCGCATCCAAATTTTAGCGAGAGAGCTATTAGGACATTCAAAGATTTATTATATCGTCGTGTTGAAGCCGATCAGAAAAAGGGTAAGAACAATATTCAGTGGGCTGATTACATTATTGAAATATTATTAACATATAACAACAAAGCAAGCATTCGGCAACTGGCCAAAGGATGCCAGAAAACCGAGCAACGAATTTAAAGTTAAACTGCATTTAAGTATGAATGCTAAACGAAATCGGGTATATCCTGAATTAAGTGTTGGTGATGAAGTTAAAATATATAGGAAAAGGAAACCCAATGAAAAATAACGTACGTGTATCAAATTGGTCGCAAAATGTTTATGCCATAGAAAAAACTAATGAAAAACTGTGTCAAAAATATTATTAAGTTGAAGGTATTGATAGGGCTTATTTGCGATTTGAGTTGTTGATTTGAAAACAATTTTCTTGAGACAACACTTAGATATTCATAGTGCGATATTCACCGAAAAAGAACAGGAAGAAATCAATAATTTGTGTCTTGGATGCTGTTGCGGCTGGCGACTGCGCAGGCAACAGCGAGGTAATGGAAAATGCAAGGATTGTGGAAACATGATCGCTGCTGCACACTGTACGAATTGCCACTGCCCGAGAATCTATGGCTTTGCGTAACGGTGCACAACATGCGAAAAGTATTAGAAGAGCGGCTGGAACTAACGAGTTGTGTTTCTTATATGACGTTGATAAGCTGATACGAGATACCGACTGTTTGCAAAAATGCTAGATGATATTATGTACTGCAGGGATAAAAAAGTCAAAACTGGACAAGGGCATATGAATGTACATGCTACATCTTGTGATTTGAACAAAATGACAAAAATCTACGTTAGATAAACACACATAACATTAACACCTTTAATGTTATGGCTGTAACCATCCCATACCCCGAGGTTTGACTTACTCATAACTTGTAATTGTTATGTTGGCTACTATGTGTTTCGTGTACTGCATGTTTTCTGGTAAAAGGTGTTTCCAAGGTTTTTGTTGTCACTTGTCTTTCCTGCGTTTGCAAACGCACGGGACTGCCCCGCAGAATTTTACGGGGGTGTCCCGTAGAGTTTGGTGGGACCATGCGCATGAATTTCAGGGCTCCTGTCTACCCTATGGTATCTGACTTGCCTGCAGCCAAACCCTACAAGTGGTTTCAACGCACTCCCTCCAAGGCCATATCTTTTTGGGACTTGCAAAGCACTATCTCCCAGGCCTGACGATAAGAAGTTTGCCAAATGCAATCTCCTTCCGAAATGCACTTTTGCAGACAAACGTTCCAGCATATGCTTTCTACCAGCAGCACTAGAAGCCAACTTACTGCCTTGCGCAGCGAGACGAAACCTCACAGATTTCCTGAAAATGCTTCATCTTGTGTCAACACGGGCCTCTCTGAACAAGAGCTGAGCAAACACATTCGTATCATGAGCTGTTCCATGCCCTTCGGGCATCTCTTGCGATATCTCGGAAGAAGCTCTTGGTCATCCGGGTGAGGAAGCTCTGCATGTTGGTGGTTGGCATAGATCGCTTGCATGTAAAGACTTGCCATGTAGGGCTTCCGGATCGTGATTTGCTTCTCGTGCAAATCTGCGAACCTGATGGGCTGCACAGGCTGCCGTCCCTTGATGCTTCCTCCTTTGCCTTGCAGCTTCGGTCGCTGAAACGGAGCTGTTGTATGTCTTCGCTTGTCTATCCACAGCACGTCCTGCCCGAGGAACTCTTTAGCAATGAGGATTTCTAGCTTGACCTGCTCTGTTGGTGAATCACCTGAATCTGGGCAGTCCGTCTCACTGACACCCTCGTCCGACATTGTGGGGACGAGAACCATGTGAGCTTCCTGAAACATTTTCTCCAGAGGTTCTACTATCAACAGCCCGTTGCGTGGATGCGTCGTGTCAATGCCCAGCTCGTAGCCTGCAAGCTCCTGCACCTTTTTGTACATGTGCTCCCCGACCGGCTCAAAATAGTCCGGGCCAAACCCATGATACCGATCTGGCGTCAAACACTCTGGAAAAAGTTGGCCCAAGATCATGCATGACGTGGTGTTGTAGTATCGCTAAGTCTGGTCTCCCAAGTCGGGTCGAAAGTCGCGCTGCTTGTTGGCCGAAATCCAAACAGCGCGCGAGCCATGGGTTGCAGCACATTTTGCACTTCCTCCCGATTGGCTCGCACTTCGGCAGCCAAGTCCCTGATGCCACTCATGATCTGCTGCTCTGCCTCTGGTACACGACGTATGAGTCTTACGGTTTGAGCGTGAATCGTTTGGGGAGGCCAACAAGCAGGGCTAAGCAGGGATGCCTAACCAAAGGGACCCCTTGGATGGAAATCTTGACGAGGGGCTTGTGATGACGTGGTTGGCATGTCCTCATAGTCGACAAAGAGAGGGGGTGCATCACTACCTGTGCAGATGTCATCGAGCAAGGTTCGGGGAGCAAGCTGCTGTTCACCTTGGCCACGAGCATTCCTAGGTATCCCAGTAGCCATATTAAAAAGGTGCCTTTTTTCTGTTGGTATGTTTATGTGTGTTTTTAAAAAACCCAGAACCCAAAACGGTAAAAGGGCACCACTGGAGTTCCTAGATTCTCGTGCTTGTACAACTTCAGCCTGGGTAATGGTACTCCCACATTTGACACGGCGAGCGCTGTCTGCAAGAGGTCAGGCCGTTGGGCGATCAGGTAGGTCTTGGCGATAAACCCTGGATTCATCACCAGCATTCTTGACTAGCACCCACCAAGATTTTGCGCGTGGCAGAGGCCCGCTTTGTCCAGGGCCGTCAGCCATGGAAACTCGCACCAGTGAGCACAAACCCTCACAGCACTTCACTTGCTCAGAAATTTTGGAGTGTTAGCCCAGGCTGTTGTTAAGGGATTGTCTATGGGCTTCACATGCCCGATGACAAGCATGATCCCGCTACCTGATTCGTCGCCTGATTCGAACCTGCAAGCTGCAGCAAAAAGCTGCGAAAAGAAAGAATCAATCCCAGGCTCGCCGTAACCCCAAACCCTAAGCCAACATGCTGCAAGACCCCCTTTGCCTATTTAGGTGCATGGCACTCAACGAATAATGATGCCTAGGATAGTAACTTAGATCGGGACCTTTGGGTGGATTGTCCTAGTATTGGGGCTTAGATCTTGACATAGATTTTATTCTAAGGTTGGGGGTGAGATCTTGAGATGGATTTCGATCCTCGGGTGGGGGCTGGGTGGTGCCACACACCTAAATCGGCAAGGTATCATCTAACTCTTTATGCATGGTCACCTCTGTTCTTGCACCGGGCTTCTTACGTGCCGTAGGGTGCTCGAGCACTCTGGAAATGTGAGGTCAACGTCGGGTGAGCTGGAGGATTTGCATACCTGAGATGTCCGCGGCAGAGCGAGTGAAGGGAACGCGACTGCCCAACCGGAAGCTGCCAAGCTCACGACCCAGGCGGAGCCTTCGCCCCACGCGCGTGGTTCGCAGCCTTGCCAGTGACGAAGCTAGAGATAAGCAAAGCCTTCCTTTTTGAAACCAAGAGTTGGGCTGGAGCTCGTGTCTGTGCATACCTGCCATCGCAAAGAACAGGCGATGCTTCACAACAGCCAATCTAGCCAAAGTTGCTGATCGCCCCACTCCGGAGCACGCTGTCTGCCTGCTGCCCCCACCCCACGCGAGCGATTCTCAATACCCAGCTTGTGCGACTGCATGAGAACAGCGCACAAGGCGGGAAGCCTGTGCCAGGTCCGTGGTAGTTTCCTTGCCTTCCACATCCGTCAATCGTCCCTTAAGTTTCGAAGACTTACCGACTCAGGCTCCTGTCTGGCGGGTTGTGGCCCGCAGGAGCAGCCTCAAGAGCCGGCGAAGTGCGCCGTTGTGCTAGTGCCAGTGCTACTGCCACAGCCATCAAGATGAAAACCAAAACTGCATCAGCAGCAGCGTCGTCCCGAGCGTCGCTGCCTGCCCTGGCTGCGGCCAGGGCCTTTAGGGCCCCGGGCGGCGTGTGACGCTTGCCAGATGTCTCGCGCAGCTTTGCGGTGGCGGAGCGCCTGTCAGGGTGAGCTAAGCTCTCTCAGCCGCAGGACTATTATAGGGCGCCCTATAGGGAGAAGAGCTTCTCACACGAGCCCCCCCATTCCGTTGTGTGGTACCGAAAGCCTTCTCTTCCTCGACTGAATGCATTCCTGGCAAGGCTGGGATCGCTTTCAAGAGAGCATGAGACTGAGGAGCCCTCCTGGCCCAGTGGCTGTGCTACCTGCGAATACCGGCCGGGGGGCGATTTTCTGACATGAAAAATGAAATCCAATGCTGCAAAGCTGCTGGGTGGGCACTGGCTAGACATTGCTGGAATGGGTGGCCTTTGCCATGCTGCCATGCTCATGGCGTGCCCGACATATCACGAAGTGAGGCACGAGCAATTCTTGCCCTTTGGCGATCTGGAACAAATCGGCGACCTCAGAGCACATGTGAAGAGATGCTGGAAGCCCGTGCCAGCATCTTCTGTACGGCTGAAGATTCGGCTGTTACCTTGTTCGGAACATTCGCAGAAGGTTCCTCAGGACACGAGCCACGCGAGGCTCGCAGAGAAGCTCGAATGATTTCTGCCAGTCACACAGAACCTGAGATTGCAGCATGATGTGATACTGGTTCTTTCTGCCTGTTCCATGCAGGGATGTGGGGCAGAACTCGTGCGAACCCGACCGAACCCGAGTGCAGGTTTCACAGTCTCGCCTGGCGCCGATCATGGAGAGGATCTGGCTGCCGGCGGTGTTTGTGCCGTGCTTCTGTGACCCGGCTGTCGGTTGTGCCTGAGAGGCGTCAAGCATTCCGAGCCGAAGCAGAAACCAGCCAACTGCCACTGCCCTACTCCTACGGCCATCCCGACCGGGCTTGCGGTGAGTAAGCGGCCCTGTCGTTCCAATAGGAGCCTTTGCCCTTGGCTTTCGGAGAGTGCGCTCCAAAGCGAGTGGAGTGGTGTGCCGCTGCGGCATCCAGTCCCGAGCGCCGGGCATGGGCGGCGGCGGAGGGCCTCAGTGAAGGAACTCCTCTTTGCATTCCACACCTATATGCAAGCCCTTATAAGCTCTTTATGGCTCTTTGTTCTTTGCAGCCTGCAGCCCTCTAAGTTCAGAGCGGATTGCGCATCCCCGTGGCTCCGTGGAGACCGGAGTGGCCAGAGCCGCCAGATGTGAGGACACCTGGGCTAAGCGCCGCTCTAAGGCTCTCTTTTCGCTCGGGCTCGGCGCCTCGGCGGCTCGGCGGCGGCTGAGTGCCTGGCCTGGTGTCATTGGCTGTGCAGTAGGCCTGCAGCAGTGCGGCCCACAGACTGGCGCCGGCGGAGTGAGCCGCCTGCCCGCCCCCCGCGCGCGCCTTTCAGCGATGGGCGCCAAGGGCGCTGCCAACTTTGGAGCAGGCCTCGGCAACAGATATTAGTGAGAGTGTCGTCGCAGCGTCAGAGTCAGAAGATCTCAGAAAATTCCTAGCAGCAGTAGCAAGAATCATGCCAGAAGGAGGCAGATCAGCAGAGTCGCCTCTGCATACCAGAGTGGTTCCGAGTTGCACCCGCAGTGCCGCAGTGCTGTGGAGCAGTTGCAGTGGCACAGTCTGGCACAGTCTGGCACAGTGGCACAGAGCAACTGCGCAGACTCCAGCACCGAGTCACCGGCGCAGGCGCTACAACGATGGGCGTGGGCGGCGCGGGTGCCAGCGGCGCAGGAGCGCTGACCACCGGCACCTCGCTTCGACGCACTTCAAAATCCTCGTCGTCTTGCTTTACCTGAGACCACATGTGCACAGGCTGCTGTAAACTCTAAATCATGCAGTGTATTTCTCTCCTGTAGACTGACTTCTTGCCGCAAAACAATTCCTTTTGATGGCGATATCGCGCCTCGGGCGATGGTTTGTCATTGGCAAACCACCTACTGGATCCTGTCAGGGCTGTGGGTACCCAGCGGAGGCGACCCAACATGCTCGCACTGTAAGCTGGAGGCCTCGAGATTGCTGCTTGTCCTCCTGCAATCGTTGTCCCTCTGCAAGACACCCCAAAGTTTCCCTCAAGTGCAGGTCCTTCGGCGCCCCCTCGCGAACCTGGACTTCGGGTTCCGGGGCCTCAGAAGTTGTTCCCAAACGCCTCAGGTGCTCATGCATTATGAGAGGTTCGGTTGCCGACGGTCAGTGGTGCGTGTTGTACTGGCGGCTCAGGGATACCGTTGCGCTCACCTTAGGGATTTCGGCCCAGCTGAGAACCACGTCTAATCCCTGCCGTACCCTGCTTTTCAGCACTGCATAAACCCAGGCTTGGGACTCGTAGGTGTCGGTGCAGGCGGAGCATTGTACTGCCAAACACAGAGCAGCAGGTGCGCAACTTAGGATAAGTGACAATCCGCCGCGACTCAAGCAGAGCGACAGTTGCTGAAAGTCTTCGGTAATTTCTAGAGCTACGCTGCCTTTCGAATATCGCCCAGCGTGCAGTCCAGCAAACCTAACGGGGTGCGACATTGAAGTTTGGACGAAGGAGGCAACAACTTTATGTCGAATATTCTGACGAGGGAATGTGAGAAGGCTACCTTCATTGTCATCGTATCTCATCGGATCACCGTCATCGGGTTCAGGGATGACCATCAGGCACCCTGGATAAAGCCCAAGACCACTTGCCAATGTGGGGAATCGTCGACACCATCTCTTGCTCGTGAGTCGCAGAAAGCTATACAGCAGCTACTTGATAAGCCACTCAGTCCGGAGGGGCTTAGCCCCCGTAGTGGATAGTCCGAGCAGAGATTGTGAGGTCAGCGCTGCCGCCATCGTTCACCGCGGAGGTGTCCGGCATGTCCCATTGGGGTTCTGGCTCGTCCTGGCGACTCAAGATATACTCCCTTGATCCGGCTCAACGCGCAGCAAACGAGCCATCCAGACGTACGTGCTCCAAGGGTCTGCCTCCAGGAAACATGAGAGAGAATTGCACATTTCTCGAACTAACTCTGCACTTGACGTTCTCCGTCACAGAGAACCTGGGCGCCATGGGCGCCATAGCCCCAAGTGCTCCACCTGCCGGAAGAAAGGACGCAGAGCAACGCAAAGCTCGAAGTTGCATGGCCAAAGTGCCTGGAGTCCCGCGGAGGCCGGTCGTTCCGGTCGTGCCAGTCATGGTCCCTTTCCTTCGCCAGTGACACAGTACGGGGTCCCGGACTCGGCCCCCGCTTCTGCAAGCGTTGCCCCGTTTCCCCAGCAATCAATCTGGGCTTTCTTTGCCAGGCATCGTGGCGATTCTCGCGGCGGTCGTGCCGCTCTTGGCGATTCCGCCATTTCTCGTTCTGGTCCTGGAAAAAGGGCGGAGCGGATGCACTAAAGTTGGTGCACAGACATTCATATACATATATACATATACCCTGGTCCTCCCAGGGTCTTGGTAACTGCGCCCTTAGCCAACGACCCACTTTACCCATGAATAGCGTGAAAGGGCTCGGATTACCTGGGGGCACTTTGGGGGTCGATTCTGGGATAGGTCTGAAGATATTTGCTGCTACTGCTAAATGCTGGGCCGTCTTCAGGCTCCAATTCAGGAGAGATGTCAAGAAATTCCGGGGTTACCAACCATAAACCATATATCTAACACATGCAGACCCTAAACTCTAAACGTTGAACCTGATCTAACACGCTCTCAACTGAGCATGCCACCCTACTTCCCTAAGATCCCTAAACCCTAGAATGCATTGTATGCTATATGTCCATGTACATGCACAGAGAAAATAAGGCAAGGCATGTCAGAAAGAGCATGTAAAGAACGAAGTCGGCTTTGAGAACTACGTTTGATACATGATCTGCTACGAGACTACGGCATGGCAGCTATGACATGATGATATGATATGGTATGATGTGAACTGAGATGATATGGCATGATATGCGCCTATGGATTGATTGTTTGACTGATTGAGTGAGTGAGTCAGTCAGTCAAATACACACCTATGCGGATGACATAGATTTGGCATGGACGTACTCACTTCTCCGGAGCCGTGGTCCTCGTGTTCAAAGTCATGCTCAAAGTTGTTCCTGCGTCCTGTCAGAGGATGCCGGTTGCTGCTTGAATCGCAACCAAGCTCCAGTGCTTCAAACAAAGCTGTTCTGCGATTCTGACAATGGCACCAGCACTACTAGTAGCTTCGGATTCATGGCAACAACAAGACGCATTCACAGTAGCCGGCCCCGACAGTTCCTCGCCTCTATCGCGGTCCCCACGGTCTCCACCGCGGTCTCCACCGCGGTCTGCGCGGTCTCCGCGGTCGCGGCGACGGGCTGGGCGGTCGTCTTCGCCGTTCTCCTGAGGCTCCGACTTTGCCATCACGATTCGTTTCTGCACTGCGTGCAACCAGGCAGAGGTCCTTGTCGCCTTTTGTGCGCAGAATTTGCCCGTTGTCCTGCACATGACTCTGGTCTGAACATGTGCGTAATGATTCGGGCTGGCCAAGCGCAACCTGATCGATCGACTGGTCGAAGTTGATCGGCTTCACCTTAGCCAGGCGCACGGCACATTCGGAGTAAACATGCAACGTTCCAATCCGGATTGCACCTGCCCGAATCTGCCCGAACTACCTCTTCATATTGCACATTTCCCGCGAGCTTCATGCTCGAAACTGGTGGCGTGGAGACAGAGCTCTGTGCTGGTCTGTGTCGATCGATTTTGTAAACGTGGAGAGTATCGCAGCTTGAGCAGGGGTGCATTCGCGTGCGAGGTGACGTTGGGTGCTCTGCAGTATCTCACTGAATCTCACTCTATAGCATGGACAAGCACTGCTCAAGCATCTGAGACAGCAACATGTGATTGCGGCAGGTCCTTCAGCATCATCAAATCATCCTTTGAAAACTGCGCCCACCTGGCGGTGCGGTGGAGTCACGTCTGGAGGGGAGGCGGCCGGGCGAAAAGAAACCGGGCCCGGGGGAACCGGGACAGGCCCAGGCGCTCCCGCTGCGACGCAGCGAACACCTGCAAAGGAAAAAGAACGCGAAGCGTTGCGGCGGTGCGGCTTCGCACCGGTGCCCTGCGGGCCCTGCAGCTCTGCTCTCTGCTCTCTGCAGCCGCTCCGACGGCCGCCCGGCGCCTCCGCATGGGGCCCCCCATCCTGCGCCTCCGCCGGAGTTTCCGGCAAGCGAAGTGCCTGCGCGGGAGCCGGCACTTAGAGGCGCGCGCGAGCGCGCAAAGTCGCCTCACCATTGTTCTCGGCCACTTCGACCTTGCAGGGAGCCCCCCCGAGTCCGAGCCGCCCTGGAGCCGCCGAGCCGCGAGAGAGAGTCGCCCTGGAGCCTGGTCGTCCTCCGACGCTGCTCCGACTTCAAAACTGGCCTGTGTCACACAGCACTCAGAAGGCTCCAAAAGGCATGGCACCAGCGCACCACTGGGACCAGCTGCCTCAACTCGGTCTTCAACCCGGCTCGGGTTGGCGTCGTCCACGCTGCCACCATCCATTGCTGGCCCGCTTCTTCACAAATCAGCACAAGAGAGGAGGAGGTCGCCCGATGTCACCTTCTACTTAGTCCTCGGTGTACCTCTCTGTCGCGTGCCAGTGCGGCGCAGCTGCCGAGTAAGAGACGGTGCGTCAGCTGAATGTCGACTGTCGCAAAGTGCGTTCATCTGCCACGGCTCGAATTGGCTGCGAGAGGACAGGAAGTGACAATTTGACAAATCGTGCAAGGCCCTAGGCACCAGGTCACTAAATACCTCTCAACCGTTCCTGGAACAATCAATGGTCGAGCAATTCCGTGCTCGATGCTGCGACAGTCGACAGCCTGAAGCCTCCCAAGACAGGCACTGTCTGTAAAAAGACGTGTGATTCCACTGCTGTCTGCATTGGCCATTCTCGGCCTCGCTGTGTGGTATTTCTCCGTGTAGAGGAAGGCTAAAGCTACAAAGCTCATACGGTAGTGCTTCTGGCAAGATCGACCGTTCCGAATGCAGCTCTAGGCCTCTGGCAAACCATGACCATCATGATGGTGATTCGTGATGATATGAAGATTGATAGAGGATTGCAGGGCCTTTCCTGGTGGCAAGCACGACTCACGACACCTTCTTCTTCGGATCTTCCGGGGGGGGCTCACTCGGCAGTCTTGCCTCAGTGGCAAGGGAAGAGCTGAAGAACGCTCCCTGACCATCTGCCCGCCTAGTGGTCGCTGATGGGGTGAGACGCGCTAGCAGCGTATGGTACAAGCAGAGGACACCTTTAGGGGTCGCTCCGACAGTGGTGGCTGGCCATGTGTCTCAGCACATACTCCTCCAAGACTTTCCGCATTGTCTGCAGAATGACCTGCTTTCCAGCACACGGCAAGACTCCCCAGCGCATGGCACGACAGCGGTGCCCTGCCTGATCCTTTGGATCCTTCATCGACGGCTGCAGTGCTCGCGCACCCAAGCATCGCGCTTTCTCTGGTGCTGGGCGGTCTTTGGTCACAACGCCTTCAGGCAACGAGACACCTCTGGGTCCTTTACGGAACGCGCTTTACTTCGCTCACTCGGCACCTGAGAAGCCATTGTCGGGATCAATCCACCACTCTCCCCCATCGCCAGCTGCTTCCACTAAAGCCTCCGGGCTGTTGGCCAGGCACCACCTTACATGAACCAGTGTTGGAGTGCCGAAAGGACAGCCACTCTACACAAAGCCACATCTCTGCTTAGGGAGGCACCTCCCTTGAACTAAGGTGCAAGCTTCTCCAGGATCTGGATGATATGCGTTTAGCAACTAGTAACGGTCGCCAACTTCAGGGCAGTACGTAAGTCATGCGAAACCTGTTGCCAACGATTCAAGTTGAGATTCTCGAAAAGGAAACAGACTTCGTCGCAGAGTGGAGCATCACAGGTGCCAAGCGCAAAAGCTTTGACCGTACTCTGCTTGTAGCTTGCAACCTTCTCAAAGATCCCCTCGTCTTTCATGAGGGTTTCTGCGTATTTCTGAAGTCCGCGGGGGTCGTTGGCCAGGGGTACAATCTCCCTGAATCGACTCTGCTCCTCCTCTGTCAAGGTGTTGCCCCGGAAGAGAGACCACTTCTCGGGCCGGATGAGGTTGCCCTGGAACTCCTGATATCACAAAACCAAAAGATCCCCCGAGCCCTATACTATGCAGCTCCCGCTCTTGGGGCTCTGGGCTCTCTGGGCTCTCTGGGCTCTGTCTGGGTCCTCTGCAAAGACGAAGATCGCTGCTGCAAGGAGCGGTGAAGCCTCTGATAAGCTCTCTGCCAGTGTCGGTGAGGCGAAGCTGTCTGCACTGGCCGTGACCGGATCAGCGTCAGCTTTGCCGAAGAAAACAAACTTCGAGATGTCGATTAAAGGCGTGGACTGCGCGATCCTGCAGACGTAGTCCAAGTCCCTGGACTCCATGCCGGTGGTATTGAAAGAGCCAGTATACATCACCACGTGGGCTCGTTTGCAGAGTCTTTCGAAGGCATCTGGATAGCGAGTCTCAACTGCAGAGAACCTTTGAAAAGCAGAACCCAACATGCAGCCCCTGCGGTCTTTGCAGTGGCTACAGTATACATATATATAATAAGATATACATGTACATATTGTGGTCGGGGTTGCAGGGTCGAGAGGCACAAAAAGCCGATGCTTGGACTCAAATCCGAAATCCCCCCCCCCCCCCCCAATTCGCCAAAGCGCAGATCGCCTAAGTGACCGCGTCCAGGTGCGATGATGTAAAGATCGAGCTCCGGCTCTTCTCCCTCCGGCTTGCCGCCCCTTCGTGAGAGCCGACTGATCTCCTCAGGGCAACCGCAGAACCCTAGAATATACATGGCGTGTCGCTTATGGTGACGCAAAGGGGAGGTGGGGAGGTCGTTGTCTTCTATTATCATACATATGGGCTCGGTCCTAAACCGCAAAGGCCCCCAAATGCCAAACCCTATAGCCTGCGCCTCGTGAGCAAAACCTTTTAGCGATCTTCGGGTCCTCGGCGGGCACTGCCAAGGAAGCTTCTCGGCGATCCCAAAGCGATTCAGCCAGCGGATGAACCTCAGAAATCTCGGAGACAAACAAAGGCCATATAGGAGATTATTTAGGGTGAGGTCAGTGTGGTATTCCTAAACCCGATTGGGGAGTTTCGGAGTTTAAGGGGCCTCGCTTCCTTCTGTTGAAGGGCCACTTCCTGCAAGCCTGAACATGTGTCTTTTCGGCAAGCAAGGAGCCGCGATCAAAGTCCTGAACCTTGCAAGCCAAAAGCCCCATAAACCGTAGATTACTCTTCTTGTCTCTGAGAGGCCGTCTTGTCATAGTAGGTCGAATTCTGAGAGCATAGAATCTGGAAGTCTCTGCCAGGTTCCAGGCCCAACATGAGCCGAGCCATCAACAACCTCGGCATTTGCCGAGGCTCAAGGTTTCCAGACTTTAGGGTTGAAGGGCTCGGGGACTTTCAAGGCAGGGCTTAAGGGATTTACGGTCTGAGACTCTCGGGCTGGTTGTCAGTGACGAACATCTGACATTTAAAAAGAATTCGGCCGGTGATGCAGCTGCTTTCACGATGCAAACTCGGCTAAAGATCGACCCCTTGCTGTCCAGGGCAAAGGAGCTTTTTCTCGAAGACGGTGCAGCCGTCTTTGTGTGCGAAGTCGGCGCCAAAGATGATCACCGGCCTCGTGCAGTCACCGTGCAGTCGCTCTTATGGTCTCTAATGGGGTTCATGCTCGGCCCGAATTGCTGGTTCCTGGATACCATCAAAGCCTCACTTCGCTGCGTACCGCAACCTCGTTAAGAAGCTAGGGCTTTTGGGATGAGCAGATGCCTCCCACCCTCCCACCCACCCACGCGGACGCGCACGCATCATGCTCAAACCAACAACCAAAGAGTACAAACCTACATAGATCCGCCGGAGACCGTTCCCAGCCTTGCCCTTGATCCTCTGAGACCCAGCCGCTCCAGCTTCCACTCCCAGAGCTGAGCAATCGCCATGAGGTCATCCACCTGCGGACACGCAAAACGACTCTTTACTGTATGTATGTGTGCATCTGTCTATCCATGTATCTGATGTATGTACCGGTCTGCCTAGCTGTCCATCCACCTATCCGTCCATCCGTCCATCCATCCATCCTTCCGTCCGTCCATCCAGCCACACACTCATGTGATAGATGAGGATGCATGGCTCTATGGTTTCCGACGGGCCCCTCACCCCCTCTCCAATGGCATCCCCCCTTGTGGAACGGCAGCTTGTGGAATGGAATTGCGGTTGGTCCCATGGTTCGGCTTGTGGTCATCCCCTTCTCCGCCTGTCGGGCGTGGCTGGGGCCCGGAGTTTCGGAGTTAATTCCCCCCGGCACACAACCATATCTATCTAGCTGTATGTCAGTATTTCTATACCACAAATAGCAGATCCTCAGTGCCTCGAAATCCGAGTAGATGATCAGCGGAAGCAGATCGACCGCTTCTCTTCCTTTGGCGCGCGGAATCAAAGCACCGAAGAAAAACAGCTAACACATCCAAACGGACCTCAACGTAGCCCTGCTAGGGCCGAATCGTGATACAAAGCCGTACATCCGTCCTCCGAAAGACCACACTTATCCCAACATTCAGACTTCCCCTTGCGGGCGAGGGTCCGGTGCCATCTGGGCCATCGGGCAACCACTCTCCAAGGCGTATCTGCGGAGGATGACAGAACGAAAATCTGAAAAAATGTATTTGGCAGAAAACCATTTTGCAACGGATCCTAAGGGCTGGGTACAACGGCACACGGTTGGTAACTTCTCAGAGAATGCACTCAAGACGTCTGCGGTCAGATAAAGCATTGTATATGTCCATGAGACTGCATGCCGTCTTAACATTAGCCGATGCATGTACTACATACAAGCTCAACGTGGAAGGCACGTCAATGCGGCACTAGGCATGAGGTGATTTTCACATCCGTCTTACATGTAGTGTGACGTTCTGAAACGTGCACGAATTGACCGCATTGGACCAATTCTGCTACTCCGATCTATGTCTGGCTGCACGTAGTGAAAAAAGTGGCGAATCAGGTTATACTGATTTCATGGCGCTGTCTCACTTGTCGCCTCAGCGGGTGTGCCCGATTCATTCTGCACCGCAGGTGCTGTCGTGGCTGGCACGTCTCGTACTTGGGCAACATGTATATCAATGCTTTGATTGATGAGAAAAGGTTGCAGACTCTTCGTAAGACAGTCTGCAACCTGTAGATGTGTTGGTATCCAACGCAACTGATCTCAGTGCAGGTAATACGCAACGTGTGTGGGGATTTCATCATCCCACAATCCTTGGTGCAGTCCTGCCATCTCTATGGATGGGCGTTTGTCCTCACACTGTCGTGGTACTTGTGCGGTAAGATGATCGGACAGTGAGCGGCAGTCTGTGAATTGCAAGTGCAACATATTGCGACGGGCGATCTCCTCCCAGTGGTTGACATGGGAAGTTTTCCTTGAATTTCAGGCACCGCTGCTCTGACCTTGTCACCATGCTCTGCAGCGTGCTGTAAGGAATATGAATATGCCTGACATTGAAGAGTCGCTCGGCATGGTCGCTTCATCGTCGATGAGCTGCGTGCGATGAGATGCATATCATGGTGAGATGCATCTGGGTCCGACGCAGCCTTGGCGGATGTGAGGTAGTGTATGCTTCTTCTCGGGGATTTATGGCCCGATTCACTGGCAAATGAAACGTCGCAAAAGGTAACAACTGCGAGCTCGCCTGTGCTCCATGGGCTTTGCCTTGTAGGTGATAGGCCGCTCCGCATCGTACAGTGCGAGCATCTTTCGGGGTGTAGGTTGCCGGATCTGTGTCCGGAGCTTCATCATCGTGGCCCTCCACATCCTCGTCTTCAAACACGGATGCGGGCTTTCCCCTCTTGGCACTTGAGGGGCTACTGCAGCAGGTATACCACTACTCGACTCACCCTCAGTTGGGTGGCTGCTCGTACCACGGCGAGATTTGCCTTCCCCTTTGCACGGAGATGTCGACTGGGACTTGGCACTTGCGGCGGCTCTCAAGTTTTTCAGAACCCTCGCGGCCCTTTTGGTTGTGGTGTTGGAGTACGCGCACCTTTGTACGGAACTCCCAACCATGGAATCCTGAAGCTGAGCCCTCATATACATAGAAGCCAGAAGACCTCTCCGCCGGCGCAGAACTATGTGCCCACGCATTGGGCTGGTACCTCAAACCCGACAGACATGGCGGCAGTGACGACGGCTTGCCTACGCCTAAACTGTGGTCGGCCGTGTCCCACTAGCTGCTAGCTCCGCTACCAGTATGCAACGGATTCCAGGGGCTGGGTACAACGGCACACAGTAGCTACCTTTTTCAGAGAATACAATCAAGACGTCTACGGCCAGATAACGCATTTGTACATGTCCATGAGACTGCATGCCGCTTTAGCACTAGTCGATTCAGGTACTACATACAAGCTCAACGTGAAAGGTACGTCAACACGGCACCGGACGTGATTTTCACAACCATAAATCCCTCAAACCCCACCGGCTAAGTCCGCTCTCTCGAATACTACCGGTAAGAGGATGACTGCGCGTGAACTGTGAAAGTACACCAGTCCAGAATGCGCACCAAACTACCCTAAAGTAATTCCGTGCACAAGCTCACACGACTGCGACCAAAGTAGCCCTGAAGTTCCAAAGCGCCTTTTCTCTCTGAGGGCAAAGTGGTCTTGAGCCAACGGAGGTTGGCAAAGTCGTAGGTCTGGGAGAAAGTGGGGACGTGTTATTTTCACACGCCTCCTCGAGATTAAAGTTACGTACTTTACTCTCGTACAAAGTATAACACGTACAAAGCATGTACATGTGTAAAGCGAACTGACGCGCAAAAGTGGTTTTGCTTCCAGCGCTGGAGAACTGCAAAGTGAAACGATGCCTCCTATCTACAGCATCAAGAGTTGCCTCTGAAACAAAGTTGGTTGTGCTCGTTGTGCACGTGTGTCGGCCCATCAAAGTGCAGCGACAAAGTCGTGGTGCCATTGCGTAGCTGTTCCATGGTACATCAAAGTACAGCATGGGATCGGCACAGTAAAGTGCAGCGATCGGCAAAAGTAGCACCAAACGTCGAAAGGCGCCGAAAAGTGTGCTGCAAAAGTGGCCAACCATAAGGCGAAAAGTGCCACCATCAGAGGCGTGGGCGCGCCATGCGTTGCCAAAGTTGACGTGGGATCAAGTCCCAGTCTTTGGCATTCTGGGTAATGTGCCAAAGTGACTTCAGAACCGGCACATGAAAAGTCGCCAATACCAAGTGGCGGGGTGAGCGAAAAGTTCATTCAGCTTGTCGCACACAAAGTACCCATTGTCCCACGCCGGGTGCAGGATCAAAAGTCCTGTCTGCAAAGTGGAGGCAGATGCAATGTCCAAAGTGATGGACGCCTCTCGCGGCAAAGCGAAAAAGTAATCCAGATAACGCCGGTTACACACAGCGTGGTTGGATATAAGTTGCATCCAAAGTTGCTGGGTCGGTCTGAAGCCAAAAGTGACCAGCTGTCCGACCTGGGCAAAAGTTGTGCCTCCAATCTTCTTGATTGAAAGTCCTTAAAGGCAAACAGAAGTAGCGCCGACCGAGGGCTGAAGGAAAAGTTGAGGTGCATGTTGTCACACAGATAAGCATCTGCACCAGAAAAGTGCAAAGCTCCTCCGTTCATCAAAGTCTGCATCTTCTGCTGAAACATAGCCTAACGGCAAAGTCACATACAGCATAAAGCTGCAGAGTTCGTCCGCCGAAAGTACCGGCGGGACGCCTGGGACCTGGGAGCATCGCCGTAAAGAGCCATGTAAAGTTGCTCTGCAAAATATAAAGCATTTCCACTTGTGTATAAATTCCCTTCCCGGATAAAGTCTGGCCATCAACCTGTCCAGAGGAAGTGGCTCTTCCAAAAGTGGGCATCTCGTGCCCGGCACCCAAAGTTGCTCCTGTCGACCTTCTGCCAAAATGTCCACAAAAGTTGCAGGTTCAAAGTTGGTCACAAAGGTCGAAAAGTTGGAGTCTGGGCGCCAGGATGCCAAAGTAGGCAGACTCCCTCTTCCGCCAGTGCGGAAGTGATGTGCCCATGCATCCTCATGCCTTGGCAAAGTCTTTGGCGCCATTCCTCAAAGGCCAAAGAAAGTCCGCAATCGGCGGCAAAGTCCTCCTTGCAAAGTTCACAACAGGAGGGCCGTATTCAATCAGGCCGATCGCTCCCGCAAAGATCGAAAGTACGATCAAGGCCAGCAGAAAAAGCGTGTTCACAAAGTAGTCAAACCTCGGAGTAGAAAGTCTCTCGTCCGGTTGCGGCAAAGGCTGGCCGCACTGCTGAAAGTCCCGTGGACTCAAAACTGGGTCCACGTCAACTGTCGCGCGGTCCCCAAAGTCGCCAGGTCCGCGGCCCAAAGTGTGCCCGAACCCTTGCTGTCGCTCCAACGCCCTTTGGAGCAAAAGTCGGATCAACCGGAGCTCGCCTGGAGAAAGCGGCTGCTCTGGCCCCTCCATTCTCAAAGTCTTGCAGAAAGTTGCAGTCGCAACAGAAAGTCAGAGAGCCATGGCATGCGAAGCGAGCGAAAGACCGAAGTAAAGTGAAAAAGGTTGCGGCGAAAAGGCGCAAAGTAAACCCAAAACCCGCGACAAAACCCGAACACCCTGAACGGGAAAGTCAAGTGAGCTTACATATGTACATTAAAAGTGGCGCCCTTGCACCGGAGAACCATCCTCGGAAAAGTCATCCACCATCAAGTTTTCACGGTAAAAGTTTCTTCCTTTTCGGAACGGAGAAAACGGAAAACTGAAAAATCATCATCAAAGTTGGTTCCGGAAAAATGAAGAATTCCAGCGACGAGCGAAAGTCGAAGACATGTCGAGACTGCACAAGCAAGCAAAAGTGGCTACACCTCAAACCCGAAAGTAGGAAGATGGCGGCGCAAAACATCCTTCGCGATGTACTTCGTAAGGATATCTGCTGGGTTCAAAGTACCAAGCACTTTCTT